GAATGGGTTAAATAACTCAGTTCACATCCACTGACAGAATTATTATGAAGTTACTAAATTAAAAAACCATGGTTTCAAAAGATGTTTAATGATACGGAAAATATTTATAGAAGTTAAATACCAAAGGATACAAAACTGAATTACTACTACTACTCAATTTTGTAATTAAGAAAGGTTGAAAGAATTAAAATGTTGGTTGCATCTGAATAATGAAATTACAAGTAGTTTTTGTTTTAATTTTTTTCTAATCCTCACCCAAAGATATGTTTTCATTGATTTTTCGAGAGAAGGAGGGAGGGAGGGAGAGAGAACACTGATTGAGAGGCTCCAATCAGCTGAGGCACACCGGCCAGGAAAGTTTTAATTTTTACATGAGTGTATATTTCCCTAATTTTCTAGAAGTTAAAAATACCTTATATAATTATAATATAACTAAATTATAAAAACTATGATACAAAAGCTATTTCACATAATAGGAAAAAATGTAGACTACCATTTTAAAAAGTATTTTACCAAAAATAAAAAATTTAAAACAATATAATGCTAGCAGGAATATAAGGAAACAGGAACATTCATTTGGTGCTTGTAGCAATGTAAATAGAGTCATGTTTTTGACTGTCAGTCTGACAATGCACAAGACCTATAAAAATATTAAAAATATTTGACCCATTAATCTCACCAACCCCTGAAAATTCATCCTTTGTCTTACCTTAAGAAAGCCCTATTTAAAAAATTGGTTTTTTTTATTTCAAGAGTTTTAAAAATGGAAATAACCCAAATATCCACCATTAGAGAAATGGTTAGTAAATTGGTAAGTTAACCTTAATTAAAAAGATCACTTAATCCCAAGAACTAAAATGAATAAATTTAGAGCAAGAAGTTTTAAATTTTACATTATGATTGCCCTGGCTGGTGTGACTTAAGTGGTTAGAGCACCGGCCCACACCAAAGGGTTGAAGATTCGACTCCTATTCAAGGGCATGTACCTGGGTTGCAGGTTTGTCCTTGGGTCAGAGCAAGTGCAGGAGGCAACCAACTGATATGTTTCTCTCACATAAATGTTTCGCTCTTTCTCTCTCTCTCTCTCTCTCTCTCTTTCTCTCCCTCTCTCCTCTCTTCTCCCTACCTTCCACTCTCTCTAAAACATCAATGGATATTAAACAAAAACAAAAACAAAATTTTATGATTAAAAACTATAAAAAAAACTATAGAAATGTTTACATTCATAAAAAGAAAGTTTACTTTTATAAAGGACAAACAGAACAATGTATCTGTGTTTAGATGAAAAGGTTGTAGATAAAATTTTATGGTTTAAAAAATATTTTGAATAATAATTTCATATAAGAAAAGTCAGATATGTCATTATTGAGGATGTTTGAAATTTGTCTTAGGTTCTAAAAAAAATATGCATAAGCCCTGGTCGATATGGCTCAGTTGGTTGAGCATCGTCCCACATACCAAAAGGTCACCAGTTCCATTCCTAGTCAAGGCACATGCCCAGGTTATGGGCTCCATCCCCAGAGAGGTTGCATACAGGAGGCAACCAATCAGTGTTCCTCTCTCATATCAATGTTTCTCTCTCTCTCCCTCTCCATTCCTCTCTCTAAAAAATCAATAAAAACATATTTTTAAAAATTAAATAAAAATAAAATAAAGCAGGAGCCTAGTAAGACAAATTTAATATTTTTTTAAATTGACTTTAGAGAGGAAGGTAGTGGGAGAAAGAGATAGAAACATCAATGATGAGAGAGAATCATTGATCGGCCGGCCCCCCGCATATGCTCCCCACCGGTAATCGCGCCTGCAAACAGGCATGTGCCCTGACGGGGAATCGAACCACAACCTCCTGATTCATAAGTTGATGCTCAACCACTGAGCCACACTGGCCTGGCTAAGACAAATTTAATATTAATGGGGAAGTTGTTCTGAAGAAAATGCATAATCAAGACACTAGTAAAACACTTAATATTAATGTGTAAGTTCTTGTATCTTTGTGTTAGTATCACTAACATTATTTTTTAATTACAACTAAACATTTTTATTTCCAACTATTTAGGAAAAAAATTTTATAATTTTAATATCTATAAAGTCTCTTGCTCCATACCTTTTCAACTGAAGCTTCTGGATGTAAATTCTTGCTCTTGGCATCTGTTTTACCTTGTGAAAGAATTGGTTTCTTCCCAACAGCCCTTGATAAATTGGGTTTAGGTCTCTGGAATCGTCCTCTTACCATAGGTTGAACATTTTCTGCTTGATCAGTTTCCCTACAAAAATATCATTATGTACTTTCATTCAGGCATATTAAATGAAATTCTTAAAAATTCACTCAGAGTCAGAAAAAAAACTCCTTTAAGCATATTACAATAAGCGTAGCAAAGAAAACTGAAAAACAGCAATGAGGCAATAACTTGTTCCATCAGATGTTAAAAACACAGTATTCAGCATCAATAATTAAAACACTGTGGAACTGATATATGAAGAAACAGATAAATGAAACACAAAAGAAAATTGAGATGACTCCAAAATACAGATGATTTTAATATTTAAAAAAGGCAGCATTTCAAAAGTGTGAGGATAAGATGAAATACAAAATAATGTATTCTTAAGAATAAATATTAGCCCGGCTGGCATGGCTCAGTAGTTGAGCATCGACCTAGGAACCAGGAGGTCATGGTTTGATTCCCGGTCAGGCTACATGCCCGGGTTGCGGGTTCCACCCCATTTGGGGCATGCAGGAGGCTGATGATCAATGATTCTCTCTCGTCATTGATGTTTCTATCTCTCTCCCCCTCTCCCTTCCTCTCTGAAATCAATAAATATATGTATTTTTTAAAAAGTAAAGAAACAACATGAGTGAGCACAAATGTGACAAGACACTAAAAATCAGAAAATTTGCTCTGGCCAGTGTGGCTCAGTTGGTTGGGTGCTGTACCATGCACCAAAAGGTTGCCAGTTTGATTCCCAGTCAGGGCACATACCCAGGTTTCGAGCTCGATCCCCGGTAGGGGCATACAGGAGGCAGCCGATCAATGTTTTGCACTAACATTGATGTTCCTCTCTCTCTAAAAATCAATCTTAAAAAAAATATTCTGAAAACCTACCTGGAATTATATATAGATATTCACTATTCTATTCCTTCGACTTTCATTTAGGTTAGAAAATATTTAAATAAAAAGCTGGAAAAAATAAATAAAATAATTACATATCCCTTCCCAAAAAAAAGGAATGAGGTGGAAATATTGTACTGAGGTGTTATTTTATAATCTATCAAGACCAGCAAAAATCCCAGCCTGATAACAACGTTATTAGTTGCTAAGAAAGAGAGGTGCTCTCTTACATTGTTGGTGAGAATGTAAACTAGTATAATTCCTATGGGTAGCATTTTGACACTATCTTATCAAAATCACAAGTGTACACACATATATATCCAATAAGCAAGCATTTCCATTTTCAGGAACTTACCCTACAAATACACTTGCATAAAGATGAATGAGTGGAAATGTACAGTAAGATTATAAGCATTATTTGTAAAAAAACAACCTATATAGCCATCAATAGGGAACTGATAATATAAAATGTGATTTTTCCATACAAGAACACTATGCAGCTATAAAAATGATAAAGGTCTTTATGTAAAGGTATGTAGATGTAAGAAAAAATGCAAAAGGTACGTACACCACTAGGTTTTTAAAGAGTTAAAAAAAATATATGTTTGTACTAGCTTTTTGTTCTTGTTGTTAATCCCCACCCAAGGTCATTTTTTCCACTGATTTTTAGAGAGAATGGAAGGGAGGTAGAGAGAAGAAGAAAGAGAGAGAAAAATATAGATGTGAGAGAAATACATCGATTAGTTGCCTCTGATATGCGCCCTAACCAGGGCTAGAGATGGAACCTGCACCCCAGGTATATGCCCTTGACAAGGAATTGAACCTAAAATCCTCTGGTGTGTAGGCCGACGCTCTAAACACTACGCAAACAATGGGCAGGGCTATTTGTATTAGCTTTAATATACTTTTTAAAAATTTTCTGAAAAAATAAAACTGGTACTGGTTAGAGTGAATAAGGATATGGTAGGAAGAATATTTCACTCAATACCTTTTTACACTTTTAGACAGCTGAACCATAAGAATATATTATCCATACCAAAGACTAATTTCAATTTTTATTTTAAAAAATAAGATTGATTCTCAATATGGCTTTGCTTTACTGAATATAAATAATTTATAAACTGAATAGCTTTTAAGACCATATGAGAAGTTATGAGGAAGACAAAAAGGAAGTCTGAATTTTTGACATATCTCTTCAAAGGGAAATTCTGTGGTGCTTTTGTTCCATTTTTAGTGAAGATATCAACTTAACCAGTATCTATATACTAAAAAACATGATAATCTCTTCAAAGTCATAAATATCAAAATCCACTACTTTGACAACAGGCATGAATATTAACTCAAACCAAGTAAAAGTAAAATCTCAGCAAATAGTTAAGCTTCTAAATTATTTTTAGGATTTCTTAAGTTACTACTTTGTTAAAATTCGTATTACTATAAGACATCATATATGAAAGAGGCTCTTTCGGTAACGAAATATACACACTCAGACCACAGACATATTAAATGGTCTATAGTTCCCTCCTCATCCCTAAAGGAAGCATTATTATCATTTATTAAATGATAAGAAATTACCAAAAGTTTGAAAATAAATTTTTAAGTCCTACCATGTAAAATACTTACAGTGATGTATTTTTTAGTTCAACATTTCTTTCTTCTGTACAACTACTCTCAGCATTATTCACCTCACATAAGACTCTAATTCCAACTTCTGATGAATGCAAATCTGAAGTGATTGATTCTGAAGCCCCAGTTGTTACTGATGTAGCATCCTGTTGACTACTAAGGAAATGAAAACATCAGGGGGGAAAGGAATTCTTAGTAATGCATACTTTAAACTAATTATTTAAAAGACTGTTAAAATGCTATATACTAACCAACACTATGAACGATAATCCTTCATATTATGAAAGAATTAAAACAAGTATTTTGGCTTTTTGTGATCTTTGTTGCACCATGTTATTAAGAACTATTCCTTCGCCCTAGCTGGTTTGGCTCAGTGGATAGAGCATCAGCTTGTGGACTGAAGGGTCCCAGGTTTGATTCTGGTCAAGGGCACATGCCCGGGTTGTGGGCTCAATTCCCAGTAGGGAGCTTACAGGGGGCAGCATATCAATTATTCTCTCTCATCATTGATGTTTCTCTCCCTCTCCCTTTCTCTCTGAAATCAATAAAAATATATTTTTTAAAAAAAGGAACTGTTCCTTCAAAGAAAGTAGCCACCATGAATTAACAAGCTTGGGAAAGTGTTCAAAAAGTCACAAAAGGAAAATCCCTTCATTATATGGAGTTCATAGTAATACTTAGGAATTATCTTTCATTAAAATTTTATGAAAGTATTTGAGATCTTGCTCCCCAGAATATGTGTCAGTTTGGCTCAAATAAACTCTTATAAAAATTCAAAAATAGCCCTGGCCAGTATGGCTCAGTTGGTTTGAGCATCATCCCAATATGCCAAGGTTGCAGGTTTGATCCAAGGACAGGGCACATGTAAGAAGCAAACAATCTATATATATAAAATCCTAATATGCAAATAGACTAAACGGCAGAACAACCGAACAACCAAACTGGTCACTATGACCTGCGCTGACTACCAGGGGGCGTGCGGAACATGGCGGGCATCGAACGCAGCAGGATGGTGGAGCAGGTGAGTGGGGGCACCAGACCAAGGCGATGTACCAGTCGCTGTCATCGGGGCAAGCCTCTGGTGGTTACTGAAAATTCTTTTTTCCCACGCACCGTGGTCTCACCAGGCGCTCATCACACCCACTGCCAGGGCCTGGTGCAGGTCCCAATTGCTCAGTGCCGTCAGCAGGTGCAAGTGGCGGCTGCCCACCCCGATTGCCCCTGAGGGCTTTTCCACCTCCCCTGCTCCTGAGGGGTGATTGGGGCAGCAGCCATCACTCACACCCGCTGATAACACCAGCCCTGCTCGCACCTGCTGCTGGCTCCGGCCCCAATCACTCCTCGCCATCAGCGGGTAAGAGCGGGGCCGGCGCCATCAGCACGTGGGAGCAGCGGCAGGAACGGAGCTGCCGGCAGACAGGGGACCAGGGGCCGCAGCGGGAGGGGCCTGGCAGGGGAGCAGAGGATGGGCCAAGACCCACCCCTGTGCCCACCACAGCCTTGCGGTCCACCGTTTCTTTCAAGGTTCATGAATTTGTGCACTGGGGCCCCTAGTGAATGTATAAATACATGAAACAACAAATCGATGTTTCTCTCTCTAAAAATCAATCCATAAATAAAATTTTTAAAAAGGACCCAGAGGTCCATGGCTCAGCTTCAAATACATTATTAACATTGTGAACTATATGAAAAAATCAGCATATGTGCATATGTGTATTTTTCTACATGAGAATAAATAACTTACATCAAATTTTTCAGAAGATAAGCATATAGACCAGTGGAATAGAATAGACAGCCCAGAAATAAACCATGTATATATGGCCAAATGATCTTTGACAGGGTGCCAAAACTACACAATAGGAAAAGAATAGTCTCTTCAACAAATGATATATCCACATGCTGAATATCCACATGCAAAAAAATGAAACTGGACATTTATAACATACACAAAAATCAACTAAAATGGATTAAAGATTTAAAGGAACCACTTTAACTATAAAACTCCTAGGACACATGGGAAGAAACTTCATAACATTGGTATTGGCAATGATTTCTTGGCTATCACACCAACAGGAACAAAAACAAAAATAAACAAGTGAGACTACATCAAATTAAAAAGTTTATGTACAGCAAAGGAAATAATCAAGAGTCAAAAGCCAATCTATGAAATGGGAGAAAATATTTGTAAGGCATATTTCTGATAAGGGCTTAATATAGAAAATATAAAAGGAACTCCTACAACTCATAGCAAAAACACAAATAACCTAATTTTAAAAATGGGAAAAGAACTTGAAACATTTCTCCAAAGAAGACATACAAATGGCTAACAGGTATATGTAAAGATTCTTAGTATCACTAACCATCAGAGAAATACAAATCAAAACCATAATGAGGTATATCATCTCACACCTGTTAGTATTGCCATTTTTTTTTTAAGTGTTGGAGAGGAAGTGAAGAACTGCAATCCTTGTGCACTATTGGTGGAAAAATATAATGGTGTAGCCACATGGAAAACAGTATGCAAGTTCCTCAAAAAATTAAAAATAGAACTATCATATACATGATCTGGTAATCCTTCTTCTGGGTATTTATCCAGAAGAATTGAAAATAGAATATCAAAGAGATCTCTGCACTCCCATGTTTATTGCAGCATTATTCACAATAGCTAAGAGATTAAAACAACCTAAATATCCATTGACAGATGAATAAAGAAAAATATGATACATACATACAATGGAATATTATTCGTCCTTAAGAAAGAAAAAAATCCTATCATAGGCTACAACATGCATGAACCTTAAAAACATTATTCTAGGTGAAATAAGCTAGTCATAGAGGGACAAATGAGGTATCTAAAGTAATCAAACTCATCTATATATATAAAAGCCTAAGCAATGCCCTGAACCGGTTTGGCTCAGTGGATAGAGCGTCAGCCTGCGGACTAAAAGGTCCCAGGTTCGATTCTGGTCAAGGGCATGTACCTTGGTTGCAGGCACATCCCCAGTAGGGAGTGTGCAGGAGGCAGCCGGTCGATGTTTCTCTCTCATCGATGTTTCTAACTCTCTATCCCTGTCCCTTCCTCTCTGTAAAAAATCAATAAAGTATATATTTTTTAAAAAAATATTTAAAAGCCTAAGCGACTGAACGACCAGAATGACAGAACAACCAGAATAACCAGTCACTATGATGTGCACTGACCACCAGGGGACAGAAGCCCAACACAGGAGCTACCCGCTGGAGGCCAGTGTGCTTCCACAGTGGGAGCACCGCTCAGCTGACCAACCCGTCCAGTGGCCCACCAGCCTGGCGGCAGCCACTCACACCCTCAGTAGTCCTACAGGTCCAATCGCCGGAGAACAGGCCAGGCACCAACAGACCAGCACCACTTGAATTATCCTGACAGTACTGCCAACCTCCTGGAAGTCGGCCTGGGGCACCACGGCCGCTTCACCTCCCTAGACGCTCCGCAAGGAAGAAATTATATAAAGGCGGCTGCCAGATGGCTCCCAACAACCAGCGCAAATGTCAGCAGGACGGACTGGCAAGGGCGTCCCACTGCCTACCCAGAGGGCCGATCGCCTCCCGGGCCCCCCTCCTCCCCACTTCCCCTGTCAGGACCCCACCCATGCACGAATTCGTGCACCAGGCCTCTAGTAGAAATATAAATTAGCATGGTGGTTGCCTGGGGCTAACAGTAAGAAGGAAATAAGGAGTTGCTGTTCAATGGATATAGAGTTTCAGTCATCCAATATGAAAATGTTATAGAGATCTCCTCTACAACACTGCTTACAGTTAACATACTGTACTATATACACTTAAAAATTTGTTAGGAGAGATCTTATGTTACATGTTGTTGTTTTTACCACAATTTAAAAAACAACATTGCCCTAACATGTTTGGCTCAGTGGATAGAGCATCGGCCTGCGGAATGAAGGGTCCCAGGTTCGATTCCAGTCAAGGGCATATGCCTTGGTTGCGGGCACATCCCCAGTAGGGGTTGAGCAGGAGGCAGCTGATCGATGTTTCCCTCTCATTGATGTTTCTGGCTCTCTATCCCTCTCCCTTCCTCTCTGTAAAAAAATCAATAAAATATATTTAAAAACAACAACAAAAACTCAGCAGGATCCATCACATTTAAACTGCTAAAAAACAAAAATAAAGAGAAAATTTTTATAGAACATGATAAGCCCATACAAACACTATCACAAGAAAGCTGTGTGGCAAAATAAGCATCAGAACAAAAGACAATACCAGAATGATATCACACAAACGATAAAAGGATGACTTCACCTAGAAGAGACAATTCAAGATATGTATGAAACCTAATAACAGAGCCTGAAAATACATAAAGAAAAACAAATAGAACTGAAAAGAAAAATAAGCCAAGGAGACTTCAAACTCCTCTCTCAGTAACTGAAAGAAAATGTAAACAAAGTCAGGAAAGATATATAAAATACCTTAATGAAAGAAGTGGGTCAGTTTTATTCACAACTTCATCCCTGGAGGATAAATCCTCAACTTCATTGAAGGTCTGTACACAGGAAAGCTTCTGTTCCTTATTACCTTCATCTTCATTTCTCTCAGGCCTTAAAAATGGACATTTATCTATGAATACAAAATACATGTTATTCTAAAAACTGACAGCAAAAACATCTATATTTTAAAGCTCAAAGGAATTTACATATAACATCATCTCTTCCTATAAATCATTAATCCATTCAACATTTAAGTTCTTATATGCAAGAGATAGATCATACTTTAAGAGCATTAATGAAAAATCAATCAATTTATAACTGTGTTTTTAGGATCAGCACAAATTTCTTAGACAGTCTGTAGCATCCTCCTTTTATCTTGCTTAAATTTTAAGTGGTTAAATATGTCTAGTTATGAAACAAAGTGGATTTGGCTCTTCTGCTCCTTCATAAGTGTCATAATTATAACACAGTAATAGCTAATCATTTCAGAACTTACTAAGTGATAGAAACTGTAAGTCCATCAAATATCTCATTTAATAATTCAAAACAAACCTACTAAAAGTTATTCATATTAACCCCATCACAGAGAAAATGATTTTAAGTTGAAAGATATTAAGTGATTTGCCCAAGGTCATACTTAGCAAATAAAGTCCAATTTCTTAATCACTGAGCTACCCCAATTTACATGTAATATCTTTACTAGTAAGCCACAAAAGAGCATAATATTGTAATGCCTATAAACCATACTATGCTACCAACCAGGACTCATTTATTAAAATCACATGGGTGCTCTGGCCAGTGTGTCTAAGTGGTTGATCGTCGACCTACGAACCAGAAGGTCACAGTTCGATTCCCAGTCAGGGCACACGCCCAGGTTGTGGGCTCAATCCCCAGTGGGGGGCATACAGGAAGCAGACAATCAATGATTCTCTCTCATCATTGATCTTTCTTTCTCTTTTTCCCTTCCTCTCTGAAATCAATGAAAATATTTTAAAAATAATAATAAATAAAAAATCATATAGGTGAAGCTGAATTACATAAAATTTAAATTCTATAGAAAAGTTGTTCTGGTCTGCTACTATTTTTTTCTCCTCTCTTTACTTGATTATCTGTTTTAAATAATCTATACATGAACTCTTTTGTTTGTTTGTTTGTTGTTCATCCTCACCCCAGGATATTTTTCCATTGATGTTTAGAGAAAGTGCAAGAGAGGGGGAGAGACAGAGAGAGAAACATCCATGTGAGAAAGACACATCGATTGGCTGCCTCCCACACGAGCCCTGACTAGGGCAGAGATCAAGTCTACAACCGAGGTATGTGCGCTTGACGGGAATCGAACCTGGGACTCTTTAGTCTGCCAACGCTCCATCCATTGAGCCAAACTCTATATGGCTAGGACTATATATGAACTCTTACGGAAAGGGACCAAGACTTCCCCCTAAACTCTTAGCCCTCGTTCCCTAAAAACCCGTAAGTGTCAATATGTCTGCATTCTAAGGAAGTTTAAAAAATGAAAATGGGAGGAATACTTATTCCAGTAGCTCTTTTATAGAAATTAAACAACTTATTGTGGGTTCAGAGAGGTGCTACGAAAAGGTAACATGAAAACCTGTGATTTATTAACAGATTGAAGCAATGTACGTTTAACTATAATAAGTCCTCACTTTACATTGTCAATAGGTTAGTTCCTGGAACTGAGGCAAAATTACATATAACAGAACCAATTTTACCAGCGGCTAACTGATGTATTAACAAGAGTTAAGCTCCTAAGGCATTTCATCAAGTTGTAAAAAAATGATGTTGAGTGAAACCACATTATTTGAAGACCTGTAGTATATACATGTGACTTCTTAGCATTGTTAATGGGAGTACAATGGAGTTAATAAAGCTTAGAGACAAACTGTAGAGAAAAATGTCCCCATTTAGCTTTGTGTTTTTTGTTTTTATTAACAACCTTTTTCCTACTAAATTAAAAATAAAAGTGTTTTGCTGTGGCCCGTGCTTCTCAATGGTTAGAGCATCGTCCCATACACCTGGGTTTGATTCTGGTCAAGGACATGTACCTGGGCTGTATGTAGGTTTGACCCCAGCCCAGTCGGGGTGAGTGTGGGAGACAACTAATCTCTCTCACATTGATGTCTCTCTTTCTGTCTCTGTCTCTCTCTCCCCCATCCTCCCTCTATTCTACTCTCTCTAAAAATAACATGGAAAAGCCCAGCCAGAGTGGCTCAGTGTCTGGGCATCAACCCATGAACCAAAAGGTTGTCGGTTTCATTGCCCAGGTTGCAGGTTCAATCCCCATTGGGGAGCATGCAGGAGGCAGCCTATCAATGTTTCTCTCTCATTGATGTTTCTATCTCTCTCCCCATCTCCCTTCCTCTCTATATAAAATAAATAAAAAATTTTTAATAAATGAATAATCATGGGGGAAATATCCTCATGTAAGGATTAACAAAAAAATAAACAAAATAAATGTGTTTAACACAGTACATAAATACAGAACCAATTAATAAAACATTAGTAATTACTACTATCTAGAAGGCAGGCAATTAATTTATACACTAAATTATTGTATGTATGTCCTCAAATAATCAGAGGCTATAAAATATGTAAGAAACTTACCTTTCTGTTTTTCTCCTTTAGAAGGTCCTGGCTGAACAGTGGCATTTCCTGAAAGATTTTTTACTTCTTGTTTACCAACTTCATCTTGATTTTTCCTTCTTTTCTCTAGATTTAGGTCTGCTTCTAATGCAATCTGTTCTGAATCCTGTCCTGATAAAGTCAGAGACTGCAGTTCTTCTTGAACTGTCTGAGCATCCTTTTGAGACTCTTCTGTGTCTGAAATTGTAGCACTCACAGACTCATCTGGATTATCAGTCACTCCTTCACTGGCAACTTTTTTCACTGAAAATAAAAGAAATGGTTATAAATACATGAACAACCTATGAAAAATTCTTAAAGTAGAGAAGGTAAATACCCAATTATAGCCTTTGTAATATTATTTGTATAAGCAAAATTTTGAAGACAATATAAAACGCCCAACAGAGAACTAAATTAAATTAATTATACTACATCTACACTAATAAAAGACAAAGATGCTAATTGACCGTACCTTTGCTACACCCACCAGCCAATCAGAAGAGTATGCAAATTAACCCAACAAAGATGGCCATTAAAGTTGCATACTGCAGGCAGGGCGGGACAGTGACCTGGAGCGAAGCCGGACAGTTCTGGGGCCGGTTCCAGCCAGAGCCCGGCCAGAGCGAAGGCCTGGGTCCCAGGTGCCAGAGGCAAACCGGTGCCAGCAGCCAAGGGAAGGGAAGGCTTATTGCACGAATCTCTTCATGCAACAGGCCTCTAGTTTATGCTATAAAAATCTATGCAGTAAATAATAATAAGGTGGACTCATATGTAGTGATGTAAAAGATTTCAAAATGTACTGTTACATTAAAAAAATCAAGTTGCAAAACAACATATATAGTATGACCTCATTTCTATTAAACAAAAACAATTACATATACTCTAAAACACACACACACACACATATATGCATAGGAAAGAGTTTAGTAATAGTTATCCATAGGAAATCTGAAGATTCTGATGGGCAGGGTAGGAGAGAGAGTTCAAGAATTTTATTTCCTGGGTGATTTTTCAATGAACAATCTTTTTAACAAATATTTTTAAACAATTTCTAGTGCTTTTTCTTTGAAGGCATATAGACAACTGTATCAAAAAATGAAAACAGCCAAAACCGGTTTGGCTCAGTGGATAGAGCATCGACCTGTGGACTGAAGGGTCCCAGGTTCGATTCCGGTCAAGGGCATGTACCTTGGTTGCGGGCACATCCCCCGTGGGAGATGTGCAGGAGGCAGCTGATCGATGTTGCTCTCTCATCGATGTTTCTAACTCTCTATCTCTCTCCCTTCCTCTCTGTAAAAAATCAATAAAATATATTTTTAAAAAAAAACAAAAAATGAAAACAGCCCTGGCTGCATGGCTTACTTGGTTAGAGTGGGTTCGATTCCCATGAAGGCACATACCTAGATTGTGTTTCAATCCCCGGTCAGGGATCATATGTGAGGCAACCAATTAATGTTTCTCTCTTCCTTCCTCTCTCTCTGCAATTTAAGCCGTAACCGGTTTGGCTCAGTGGATAGAGCGTCGGTCTGCGGACTGAAGGGTCCCAGGTTCAATTCCAGTCAAGGGCATGTACCTGGGTTGCGGGCACATCCCCAGTAGGAGGTGTGCAGGAGGCAGCTGATCGATGTTTCTCTCTCATCGATGTTTCTAGCTCTCTATCTTTCTCCCTTCCTCTCTATAAAAAAATCAATAAAATGTATTTTTTAAAAAAAATAAATTAATTTAAAAAAATAAAAATAAATAAAAAATAAAAAAACATAGCCTCAGGTGAGGGGTTTTTTTTTTAATTTTTAAAGATGAAATAATTTAAAAAGCAAAAATAGAGATCACCATGGAAACAGCATCCAAACCAAAAGCAAACTTAACTTCACAACCATGGCTGACCAAACATCTCTAGAAATATCTAATCTTAAAAAAAAAAAAATTCAATGTCATTTATTTTTGTGAAAAAAGTCAAAACAGGATTTTAAAACTAAGAAAATAATACTTGATTTATTCTCTATCAGAATAATAACTAGCAATTTTTAACTTCTGAGACTTGTAATAATACATCTGAAAATTTCTCACAATAATGAGATACAGTGAGTTATTTGTGCTATCAACTGTTACATGATAACCACAACATTAATACATCTATTTTAATCTCCTAGGGCTATGTATAGTAAGTAAAGAAAAATGACTAAAGAGTAAAAACTTTGCAGTTATCAATACTACTTTTTAAAACATGTAGACACCATACTCCAAAAAAGGATCTTCGAGATTGGCTCTGTGCAGAAGAGAATTAACTAGCAGGCTATCCTTTGAAAGGTCTACTTAAAAAGGCTGGCCCGTTGCTGTCTAGAAACTGGGGCTTGGGGAGAGTCCCATCTGCCTACCTAAACTGTTTATACAAATAATGCGGTTTCTGCTGAACAACTGGCTTTCCTTCTGGTAGTCTGAATTCTGATACATGCCAAGCAAAGGGTATGACAAGCCTCCAATAAAATCCTTGGGCAATGAGTTTCTAACAAGCTTCCCTGGTAGGAAACTTTTACATAAACCAACTTTTTAAATTCAACAAAGACCCATGTGCCTTTTCCCTTTGCTAATTTTGCTCTGTATCCTGTTACTATAATAAACTTTAGCTGTTAGTACAACTAAACAATAAATCCTATGAGTCCTCCCAGCAAATAATCAAACCTGGAGGGTGGTCTTAGGAACCCCCAACACAGGCTCTCACAGTCCTAGGTTTGAGTCCTGCCTCTGCCACTACTAACACTGTGATATCTTATAAAAAAGTGACTTAGGTCTGCAGGACTATTTCTGGGTGATTAAAACAAACAGAAAAGGGCTGGAATATGGACTAGCTATCATAAGGTTCCCTAAAGTTCCAACATTCTTTACATTATGTGATTATAGCTAAACACTATCCTCATAGATCAGAATTTAAATAGTTTACAAAATACAAAACTAAAAATTTAATAAACATACATAAAAACAATTTTCTACCTGGTACAAGTCAACATTAACCCTAAGAAATAAGTTAAGCCCTGACAGGTTTGGCTCAGTAGATAGAGCATCGGCCTGCGGACTGAAGGGTCCCAGGTTCGATTCCAGTCAAGGGCATGTTCCTTGGTTGCGGGCATATCCCCAGTAGGGGGTGTGCAGGAGGCAGCTGATCGATGTTTCTATCTCATCAATGAGATCGATGTTTCTAACTCTCTATCCCTCTCCCTTCCTCTCTGTAAAAAATCAATAAAAATATATATTTAAAAAAGAAATAAGTTAAGCTCAAACTATACAATTTAGTCACAAGTCCAAAGTATTAGAGTGGTTTTTTTTTAAATGTTAAAATGTTGTGCCAGATTTGCTTTAGAGAGGAAAATGATAATAAGTAACCAAACATAACACTCCAAAATTCTGATACTCTTTATTACTAAGACTATGCTCTAGATGCAAGGAAGATATCAAACAGCCATGACAATTAGAAAATTTAAAAGAAAAAACAAGAACAAATAAAAGACAGCTGCTGTCTTGGGCCCTGATAACCTCAACTACCTGAACTACATGTGAACACTCGAAGGCTTAATATTGCAAGTCTATTAAGTAAAATAACACACTTCCTTTTAAAATAAATACCTTTTACATTTTTCCGTGGTTTAGAGGATTTCTTCTCCCTTAAACTCTGATTTTTAAGGGATTTTTGTTTTCTTTTCTCTTCTTCAGCAAGAACTTTCTGAAGCAAATGAGCAAAAAAATCGAAGTCAAAAGGGCGCTTTTCCTCTGTTTAATAAAAAAAAGAAAAAGAACCTTCAAATTTTTATTTAAGTAGCATAATATCAAAAGCAAATGGGGTCCTGACTGGGTAGCTAAGCTGGTTAGAGCATCATCCAGATACTCCATGGTTGCAGCTTCAATCCCAGTCAGAGCACATATAAGAATCAATCAATGAAGGCATAAGTGGAACAACAAATCAGAGTTTCTCTCCTCTTTCCTCTCTCTCTCTCTAAAAATCAACTTAAAAAAAAAGCAAATGGGTTTATCAACAGGAGACAATGAATAAACAACTCCAGTCACTATACTATCATCACATAATAGACCACTGAGCAATAAAAAGAAACAAACTTTAAAAAAAAAAAAAAAAGGCCCTGACTGGTTTGGCTCAGTGGATAGAGCATCAGCCTGCAGACTCAAGGGTCCCAGGTTCGATTCTGGTCAAGGGCATGTACCTTGGTTGCGGGCACATCCCCAGTGGGGGGGTGTGCAGGAGGCAGCTGATCGATGTTTCTATCTCATCAATGTTTCTAACTCTCTATCCCTCTCCCTTCCTCTCTGTAAAAAATCAATAAAATATATTTTTTTAAAAAAGGATCTACTGATAAAAGCAATTAATTCAAGTAAATCTCAAGCACAGGATTAATGAGCCCTGACCAGGTGGCACAGTTGGTTGGAGCATCGTCTGTACAACAAAAAGTTGGAGGTTTGATCCCCAGTCAGTGCATGTACTGATCAATGTTTCACTCAAACATTAATGTCTCTCTTTCCCCCTTCCTCTCTCTCTAAAAAAAAAAAAAAAAAAAAAAAAAACTAAAAAAAAACTACAATATATATCCTCTGGTGAGGATTAAAATAAACAAACAAACAAACATAATGAGTAAAAGAAGGCAGACATAAAGAAGTACATACTGTATGATTCCATGAATAAGACATTCTGGAACAAGCTAATCTATGATGCTTCAAATGAAAATAGTGATTGCCTGGGTCAGGATATAAGTGGAGATTGACTAGAAAAGTAAGTAAAGGGCCTTTCTGGAGGGATGAAAATGTCCCATGTATTGTTTTGGGTGGTTGTAACACCACCAATTCTTTGTCAAAACTCAAATTACAAATTGCACTGTGTGTAAATTATAAATCAACTTTTTAAAAAACCTAGCACTAAGAAATCCTCACCATATGCCTGCTCTATATTACTATCAACTCTACTCTTCCAAATACTAGCATGAGGAAAGCAAATGAATACTAATTAGGACCACTCTCACTAAATAGCCATCAACAGCACTGTATCGGAAAGCGCAATTTGTGAACAAATCAGGAATAAATCCATTACAGGAGTTAAACCCTTGCCTAAGTTAAGCTCTACTCTAAAAATGTAGTAAAGGCCTGGACAGTGTGGCTCATTTGGTTGGAGTGTCATCCTGTACACGAAAAGGTGGTGGATTCGATTCTCAATCAGGGCACATACCCAAGTTGCCAGTTCAATCTACAGTCCGGGCTCATGTGGGAGGCAACCAATGATATTTATCTCTCACATCAATGTTTCTCTCTCTGACTCTCTCTTTCCCTACCTTTCTCTAAGATCAATTAAAAAAATAACTTAAGCCCTGACCGGTTTGGCTCAGTGGATAGAGCGTCGGCCTGCGGACTGAAGGGTCCTGGGTTCGATTCCAGTCAAGGGCATGTACCTTGGTTGCGGGCACATCCCCAGTAGGAGGTGTGCAGGAGGCAGCTGATCGGTGTTTCTCTCTCATCGATGTTTCTAACTCTCTATCCCTCTCCCTTCCTCTCTATAAAAAATCAATAAAATATATTTTAAAAAAATAAAAAAATAAAAATAAAAATAATAATAAAAAAAATAACTTAAAAAAGTAGAGTAAAATTAATTAATTAAATCAAAATATAGTGAATGTAGACAAAATGGTGCTCTATATACATAAGTTCCAAGATTGGTTTGATTATAAGATGATTAGAAGCTGGCCTCAGAAAAAGAGATATATACCAAAACAAAAATAAATTAGCCTTAGGAAATCAAGCTCACACCTGGGATTCCTGAAGGCCCTGTTTTATTGTAGACCCAGCCTTTGTGTGTTCTGGCCTTCCACAACGATGATAAAAAATAATCCATAAAGGTCCTCAGAAGAATTCAAAATATAAGTTCCAGAAAATACCATTTAGGTTTAAATTTTTTTTTAATTTTCCACTAAAAGAACCAAAATCAATGAATTTTAAAGGTATCTACACTAATAAAAGAAACATGCAAATTGACCGTCCCTCCGCTATGCCCACCAGCCAATCAGAGTGATATCCAAATTAACCCGACAAAAATGGCAGTTAATTTGCATACACAGGCACGGAGTGAAGACTGAAGACAGCTAGAAGGAAGCCAAGCACTGCAGAAGGGAGCAAAGCGGTGGAGAAGGGAATGGAGCCAAGGCAGCGGACACGGGAGGGAGCAAAGCAGCAGAGAGGGGAGGGAGCGAAGCAGCAGACATGGGAGGGAGCCGAGGCGGCGGAGACAGGAGGGAGCCGAGGCGGTAGAGACGGGAGGGAGCCGAGGCGGTAGAGACGGGAGGGAAGCCCGCCTCGGTGGGCTTCACTCCCCTCTCTACTTCACCTCGGCCTCAGGGAGCCCTATTCTTGCAGGAATCTTCCTGCAACAGGCCGCTAGTCTATTATAATGGTTTTAACAATGGCTCCACATCCCACAAAAAATTTATAGGTTTATAAATTCTTATAATACATAAAGCATAATGAAAACATTCTGGACCACTTCCCTAAAACGGAGGGGGTTGAGAACCATAGTGTTCCAGATCTTCCAAAAGCCATTCCTGGAAGTGGTTTCCCTGAGGACCCAATACAATATGGGGTGTGGGTCCACTCATCTACCTTAGTATTTACTCATTAAATAAATGTACATGCTCCAAAATTTAGATCCTCTCTTTAGACTTTTTTCTAAGATAAGCACTACAATAAACACTAAATACATTTATTCATCATGAAGCACTGGATAATTATCTTCCAAAGAATAGAGGAACTACTTTATACAGTACATTTGTTTTGCTTTACAGATCCTTTGATATCTTTCTCTAGATTTAAAAAGAAAAAAATGTGAACTTTAATGAGGCTATTAGTTAGACACTAAAAGGCACACATCATTCCTTCAAATCAGGCATAAATTCAAGTGTCATTTCTTCAGACAGAACTTCCCTGACCACCCAATCTAACTCTCCACCCACCTAGCTTAGAAATTAATCACTATCTAAAATTATCATGCTTACAGACTATATCCCTTCCCCCACCCAATTACACTGAACACTATAAAAGCAGGATTCTCATCTGTCCCATCACCATTATATACTCCATACCAATATAAGGACAAAACAAATTTAAAACACATTAGAACCTGCCCTGGCCGGTTTGGCTCAGTGGATAGAGCATAGGCCTGTGGACTGAAGGGTCCCAGGTTCGATTCCAGTCAAGGACACATGCCCAAATTGCGGGCTCAATCCCTAGTAGGGGGTGTGCAGGAGGCAGCCGATCATTGATTCTCTCTCATCGATATTTCTTTCTCTCTCTTCCTCTTCCTTCCTCTCTGAAATCAATAAAAATATATTAAAAAGCAAAACAAAACACATTAGATCCAAAGATAGAGATTGATCACATTTTAGGATCTTGATATGAAACCTTATTAAAGAGGTCTTAATACTTACGGAATGCTTTGTCTATTCTCCATCCATTTGTTTTCTCTTCACGTTTAAATTTATTCTGTTAACAAAACAAGAAATGCTATAGTAATTTTCTCCTATTAAACAAGTTAGGATACGTTTTAAAAAAATAACCATTAAAATGAAACTTATGGTAACATATAACCCAAATAAATAAAAATGTCTTTCCCAACTGACAAGTTAATAAACCTTTAGCTTTGAAAAAATGGGGACGAAAGATTTATACTGAGCTTCCTGATCTTCCTTATAATCAATAGCATGAATCAGCAATGAAAGTCCACTAGCACGGAAACAGATCAAACCTATAATCAATTAAGCTAACCAGAACTAACTCTTTAAAAACTAATATATTGCCCAGCTTGCATGGCTCACAGTGGCTGAGTGTCAACATATGAACCAGGAAGTCACAGTTCGATTCCCTGTCAGGGCACATGCCTGGGTTGCAGGCTCGATCCCCAGTGTGGGGCATGCAGGGGACAGCCGATCAATGATTCTCTCTCACTGATGTTTCTCTCTCTCACTTCCTCTCTGAAATCAATAAAAATATATATAAATTTAAAAACTAATATATTCATATCAAGTTAAACCTATTATATTTTTATGCTAATATATTTTTAATGGCATGGAATAGAGATTGTAAAGAAACACCTAAGCAAATTTTTGAAACAGGCCAGGTTTATCTTTGGAACCTTCTTTATATTAAGGCACATTCTCTCATGCCCCAAAGCCAGTTCCACTCCAGATTAAGTCCATTACAATGGAGATAGAAACGATTTAAGGCTCAATCCATCCCAAGGTAATCAGGATATCTGAGGGCGTAAGTTTGTGTCCCAGGATGTCTAATCATGCATATACATCCCGGGTCTGGGAACAACCTGCTAATTGCTCCCTTCTACAGATCAGTGGTCTAATAATGCTCTTATTAAACATATAAAAATAAAACTTATTATTGAAAAAAAGAGAAAAGCACAGAAAACAAAGGAGCTATTTCATGGCCCCCTTCTTCCCTCAGAAAGAACCCAACCAATAACCTGACTTTTAAAGCAATTACTTTCTTGCATTTTCTTATTGTTTACCATTCAAGAGAACATCGTTAGACTCCAGTTTATCCTTGCCAATTTTTTAAAAAAACTTTTTATGACTTAAACATCGTTAAATCTACAGATTACCCCTCATTTCCATTCTTTACTTTTCTTCATAAACTTTACTAAATAATATAAAAGTTTTCAGTGATCATCTTTCTCCCTTAAAAGAGCATTTTAATCTTTAAACATCTCAAAAGTTAAAAGTTATATTCATAAAAGGTGACTGGCTATAATCACTAAACATTCTGATAAAAATGCCAATAGGCTCTATGCAGTATTGAATTCTAAAATATTGCTACATCTATTTTACCTAATTGATTTAAAATACTATTTAAAAGTTTTTAAAGACTATATTATATTAGTCATTTATCCCTGGAATCTAAGGTTGGTTTGACATTCGAAAATCAGTAGTCCACTTTCACTTTTCTACATTTTGCCCAAAGACCTGCTGAAACTACACTATAAACTTTTAGGGGAATAGTCTAAACAATTTTTGAGAGAAATCATCTAGTGACAAATTTATCATTAATTACTCAGATCAGCTCCTCTAGACAATCAATTTCTGGCCTTCACAGAACTTTAATATTTTGTCCTCAACATTAAAAAATATAAAAAATTTCTCATCTTTTGTAGAAATACAATGACCATTACACTGTTCAATGTACCTCAGGTGACCAATCCATGCCTAGCCCAAGGAGGGGGAAAAAAATCTATCTTTCCAAATGGTCCCTTTAATTAATGAAGTTTAAGCCCACTATTGAAAAAAGATCTCACTATCAATTGGAAATGTATTTCCTCCCTAGGAGATACAGAAATTTATTTTGCGATCAAAAAACTACCCTTAACCCAAATATTCTAGTACATTTATCTTCCCTCTTCATTACATCACTCTTCTTTTATCTTAGTTTCAGTGGCTGTATTGGTATACTCTCAAAGACATTTAGAATTGGACAAGACATAAATAAAAAAATACAATACTAAAGTTAAGGAAATTGTATTCATAACAGAACTCAGAAAAATTACATTACTTTTTGAGCTGTAAAAAGAAACAGGTGTACCAAAAACGTAATAGTGAAAAAGGGGTGAACTGAGATTTAAATCAATGGTTAAAAAAATATTAGTAATTTTTAGTCTCTTTCCAATCAACAAATGTAATGTGTTCACTTTACCTTAATTTCTATCCTTCCTCTGTGAGGAAAAAGTTGTCCAATCATAGAAAAGTCAGTTCCTACCATGCTGATGGCTAAAAAAAACATATCTGTTTCTGTAAAAATAAAAGATTTAGAAAGACCAGAAAGTTAACATTCTCAATATTTCAGAGGAAAAAACCTTACCTAAGTATGCACTTTGAGTTAAAATAAATTTGATAGTACTTAGTAGTTTATTATTACAGTCCGGTAAATTCTTCAGTCATAGACATACGACTACACACAAATTATAAACATTAAAATTTTGTTGCAAAGAACCTCATGGATCTAAAAACATCTTCTTTAAGCCCTGGCCTGGTAGCTCAGCTGGTTAGGGCAGGGTCCTGATATGCCAAGGTTGTAGGTTCAATCCCTGGTTAGAGCACATACAAGGAGCAACCAATGAATGCATAAATAAATGGAACAATAAACTGATCTTTCTCGCTCTCTGTCTCAAATCAATCAATTAAAAAAAAAAATTTAGCTCTGGCCAGTGTGGCTGTTGGTTGGGTTTTGTCCCCTGCATTGCTGGTTTGATTCCTGGTCAGGGCACATACCCAGTTTTCAGGCTTCATCCCCACCCCACTGACCCCGTAGGCGACATTCAGGAGGCAGCGAATCGATGTTTCTCTCTCACATCGATGTTTCTCTCTCTCTTCCCCACCCTTCCTTTTTCTCTAAAAGTAAATTTAAAAAATTTTTTTAATTAAAAACATCTTTACACTTTTATATAGAAACACGGTATAAGAAATTTGCATGGTTATACCAAAGCAGCTGGAATTTAAAAAAAAAAAAAAGACATTCTGGTCTCAAAATGTCACAGCCAATACAATATTACTAAGATGTGCTTAGTACATGAAAGAAAGCAGCTAGACCGACCCCTGTGGCTCAGTTGAGCATCCACCTGTGAACCAGGAGGTCACAGTGCAATTCCCAGTCAGGGCAAATGCCCGTGTTTCGGGTTCAGTCCCCAATAGGGAGTATGCAGGAGCCAGCTAATTAATGATCCTATCTCATCATTGATGTTTCTATCTCTCTCCCTCTCCTTTCCTCTCTGAAATCAATAAAAATATATTTTAACAAATTTTTAAAAAATAAAATAGCTAGAAAAATACATAAGAAACTGTTTACAAAAGTAACCTCAAATGAATAGGATTGGGGGAAGTCAGAGAAGGAAAGTAGAGAATTTTCTTTTCACTCTGTATTATTCTGTTGTGTTTGAATTTTTTCCCAAAACAAACTATTATTTATACAATAAAAAGTAAACAATAAGAGCCTGACCGGTTTGGCTCAGTGGATAGAGAGTCGGCCTGCGACTGAAGGGTCCCAGGTTCGATTCCGGTCAAGGCCATGTACCTTGGTTGCGGGCACATCCCCAGTGGGGAGTGTGCAGGAGGCAGCTGATCAATGTTTCTCTCTCATCGATGTTTCTAGCTCTCTATCCCTCTCCCTTCCTCTCTTTTAAAAAATCAATAAAATATATTTTTTTAAAAGTAAACAATAGGGGATTGGGGGAATGAGAAGAAATTAAGTAAAGAACTTATATACTTATAGGCATAGCCCATGGACACAGGCAATAGGTGAAGACCTGGGGTGGGGGGGAGGAGGAGAGAAGGGGCTGGGTGGAAGAGGGGAAAGGGGAGGGGGGAATGGAAGACATCTGTAATACTATCAACAATAAAAATATTTTTTAATGTAAATAATAAGCAACAGCATGCAATAGATATACTTATTTTTAACAGCATAATTTTTATTTGTAGAAACTTTATTATTCAATATTATCTAAGGTAGAATAGGAATTTGACAGAGAAACATTCTAACCAAAATGACCATAATGTTAATTCCTAAAAATCTTTCTAAGATAAAGTCAGAGTTATAGCTCCACGGGACGGGGATTGGAGGGAATGTCAATAAAATTAGCTAGACAGAAACGGCACGGTAGTTTACACTTTACTTAGGGAAGGCCTGGTGTAATTCAGAAACAGAGAAAATAATTCATTACATTTCAAATAAATGACCTACATAATTTAAAATGAAAATTAGTTACCTTTATTTGACCATGGTTTAGAATAATAGTTTTTCCTAAAGCTGGAATACGTAGTTGTAGAACCACGCTCAAATATGGGGTCATTTTCCTCAACAACACAGGGGCCTTTGGTCCTTAAAACTTCTACAGTTAAACTGAAAGAAACACATTTTTAGATAGATCCACACTAAAAATAAGAAACTTAAAAAAAAAAATATTTAAATAGTGATACCTTTAAATTTAGCATGGCAGAGTCATATCAAAAGTATAAATACATTTAAGGTATGCTTATTTTCTATGAATCGAAGTTTCACTTAAAATGTAATTGCCAGGGGTCCTAGCCAGGTAGCTCAGTTGGTTAGAGCAGTGGTTGGCAAACCCATTAGTCAACAGAGCCAAACATCAACAGTACAACAATTGAAACTTCTTTTGAGAGCCAAATTTTTTAAGCTTAAACTATATAAGTAGGTACATTGTTATTAACTTAATTAGGGTACTCCTAAGCTGGCCTTTGCTAAAAACGTCCTCAATCTGACTGAGGTACGTTCGCTGAAGTCAACCCCTTCCAACTCTCCCATCCACACTCGTAGCCAGTCTCACTCAACTCGTGCATGAATCGCACGGGCCTCCCCTGCGCTGCCTATGCCGTCGCCCGAGTGACCCCGTCGCCCGACTGACCGACACCCCCCACTTCTTCTAACGCCACTTCTTCAAAATAGACTCGCCCAGGCCGAAAACTGACTTCTGCGCATGGGCCACGAAGTTTCAATCGCATTGTATGTTCGCGCCCGCACATGGTATTTTGTGGAAGAGCCACACTCAAGGGGCCAAAGAGCCACATGTGGCTCTCGAGCTATGGTTTGCCAACCACTGGGTTAGAACATCGTCCCAATATGCCAAGGTTGTGTGTTCAATCCCTAGTCAGAACATATACAAGTATCAACCAATGAATGCATAAATAAGTGAAACAACAAATCAATATTTCTCTCTCTCTCATATCACTATAGTAAAAACTAAAATAAAATAAAATAAAATAAAATAAAATAAAATGTGATTGTCAGGGAGTAAAAATAAATGTCAACTTTTTTTTTTAATCCTAAAAGCAATATAAAACTCAGAAAATATCTTTGGGCTACTTAAAAAAATTATGTGTTTTAATGACTTCTACCTGTCTCCTATCCTACATAATAAAAGCCCAGCAACCATAACGGCTTAGTGACCAGAACGACTGCTTGACCAGTCGCTATGAGGTGCATTGACCACCTCTCAGTCCCTTCCCCTCCCACCCTCCTACCACCCCCCCTAGCCCCAGCCCACGGGCTCTGATCGCAGGATGGCAAATGGGAAACCACAGGGAACTGGGGTGGGTGGCGGCAGGGTGGGACTGGGGACTGGCGAGCGGGCGGAAGATGGCCCTGATCACAGGCTAGGCCTAGGGACCCTACCCACGCACGATTTCCTGCACTGGGCCTCTAGTATTTAATATATATTATCTTGTGCTAGACTCAAAAAAGGATATTGAGAAATATAAGCATTTTATATTTGTTTTACATTCCTGCACACAAATCAGTTAAATATGCTTTTAACTATTTATTTAATGACCAGTAAAATTATCATCACAAAATAATGGAAAACAACATGCAAAAATAATTATCATTAACAGTATCACATTTATGTTTAATTATCATAGACTCTATATGCTATAAAATTATTTCTTACTAATTAAATGATCAGGAAACTTTCTATCTTTCTTTTTTATTTACTTACTAAAAATTATCTACTTTTTAAAATAATACACTGAAAAAAATAAAAATAAAATAACACACTTTGGAAAGACAACTAAATTCCACAATGCCAAATATGAGAAATTTAATATCATAACTGAGAAATTAAACGAGAAGTGAATTAAACCTCTCCATAACAAAAAACAGAAAACATGTTAACCTACATTTCATTGCATTTTCATTAGTTACCACCATCCAACAGAATATGGTATTAGTTAATAGTATGAAAACTTGAATATTGACTTCCAGACTGAGTCAATCTTTGAAACCCTATCCTCAGAAGAAGAAAGCATATGATTAGCTCAATAGCTCATCCCAATTACCAATAAAGTCGGTAAAACAACAATGGTAGGTTAATGGTCAGAAGTACTATCTTCTCATACAGAATACAAAGTTATAAAAATTGCTAAAACATTATAGCTCTGGCCGGTTAGCTTACAGCAAGGATCCTCAAACTACGGCCCGCGGGCCACATGCAAATACAAATATTGTATTTGTCCCCGTTTTGTTTTTTTACTTCAAAATAAGATATGTGCAGTGTGCATAGGAATTTGTTCATAGTTTTTTTTTAAACTATAGTCCAGCCCTCCAACGGTCTGAGGGACAGTGAACTGGCCCCCTGTTTAAAGAGTTTGAGGACCCCTGGCTTAGAGCATCATCCTGATACGCCAAGGTTGCAGATTTGATTCCTAGTCAGGGCACATACAAGAATCACTCAATCAATGAATAAATAAGTGAAAGAACAAATAGATGCCTGTCTGTCTCTGTCTCTTTGTCTCTCTCTAAAAGCAATTTTAAAATGTCTTTTTTGTTTTGTTTTTTATTGATTTCAGAGAGGAAGTGAGAGGGAGAGAGAGATAGAAACATCAATGATGAGGGCGAATCCTTGATCAGCTGCCTCCTGTACAACCCACACTGGGGATCGAGCTCACAACCCAGGCGTGTGCTCTGACCAAGAATTGAATTGTGATCTCCTGGTTCATAGGTCGATACTCAACCACTGAGCCACACCGGCCTGGCTAAAAGACATTTTAAAAATAAAAACTGCTGCCCTAGCCGGTCTGGCTCAGTGGATAGAGCGTCGGCCTGCGAACTGAAAGGTCCCTGGTTCGATTCCAGTCAAGGGCGCATGCACAGGTTGTGGGCTTGATCCCCAGTGAGGGACTTGCAGGAGGCAGCCGATCCATAATTCTCTCTCATCATGGATGTTTCTATCTCTCTCTCCCTCTTCCTTCCTCTCTGAAATCAATAAAAATATATTTTAAAAAATAAAAAAATAAAAAAACTGCTAAAAATTATAAATGAATCTAACACACCCTTCTATGTACAACATCCATTATGCTAATATAAACATCAGAGTCTAAATGACAAAGTCAGAGAAACCCAATCTCTTTCATTAGACAAAGCACTTTTGTTCTCGTGAAACCACAATCTCTCACTCTCTTTAACTTACCTTTCTTCATCCAAAATTATAGAACCATCTTCTGCCACTTTTACTCGGGGAACCAGCAATGGACCATCATCCATCTCTTCTTCCAGTTCTTCATTATCTTCAACATCAGGTGTACTCTTATCTTCTTGCCTACCAAAGGTAAACACAAGTTGATTCATATATCCATGAGAAGTGTTTCTGACTACTACGGACTTCTAAAATAAATTATTGCAAATTCAACCTTCTAGCAATTTCCAAATTTCCCTATAACCTAAAATACTATGTGTTGCCCTACCTGGTAGTTCAGTTGGTTAGAGAGCTGTCCTGATATGCCAAATATATAGGTTCAATCCCCAGTCAGGACACATACAAGAATCAACCAATAAAAGCATAAAAAGTGGAACAACAAATCCATGTCTCTTTTCTCTCTCGCTCTCTAATCAACCAATCAATAAATAAAAGAAAATACTATATTTTGTTAATGACATGGTCATAAGATTTTCTCAAATTTCATCTAGTAGCATTTAATAAGAAGCCTTACTCTCTTTGAAAATAAAGAGAGCCCTAGCTGGTTTGGCTCAATGAATAGAGCGTCGGCCTGCAGACTGAAGGGTCCCAGGTTCGATTCCAGCCAAGGGCATGTACCTTGGTTGCAGGCACATCCCCAGTAGGAGGCATGCAGGAGGCAGCTGATGAATGCTTCTCTCTCATGGATGTTTCTAACTCTCTATCCCTCTCCCTTCCTCTCTGTAAAAAATCAATAAATTATATTAAAAAAATAAAAATTAAAAATAAAGAGAAATAAATGCTCCTCTTCTCTATCTCAAAAGAATATCAGAGTAAACCTTCTACGCATTTTAGAAGTGACTAAAATAACCCTTACAGTTATATAGCATTAGTTCCCAAATCATTTTATTAACTCTCAGAAAAACATTTATGGGTACTTTCATACTCATTTGAAGCTTGGAGAAGACAAGTAACTTTTCCTCTAGATTACAGAAACATTACTATTTGTGTAGGCTACACTAAGAAGCCAAACACAATTTTCTGAATATGACTCCAAATCCATTATACCTTCCATTTAATTACATTGTCTCCTTAAGGTATTACTAAAACAAACATACCTATAAATCTATAAAACATAATGCATTTGTAAAGCTTGAGAGTTCTGCTTTAAAATAATGTGGATTCTTGCCCTGACCGGTTTGGCTCAGTGGACAGAGCGTCGGCCTGCGGACTGAGGGGTCCCAGGTTCGATTCCGGTCAAGGGCATGTACCTTGGTTGCGGGCACATCCCCAGTGGGGGGTGTGCAGGAGGCAGCTGATCGATGTTTCTCTCTCATCGATGTTTCTAACTCTCTATCCCTCACCCTTCCTCTCTGTAAAAAAATCGATAAAATATATTTTTTTTTTTAAAAAAATCCCTAAAATATATTTTTTTTGTTAAAAAAAATCAATAAAATATTCTATATTTTTTATTAACACTCAATAAAATATATATTTTTTTTAAAAATATATTTTATTGATTTTTTACAGAGAGGAAGGGAGAGAGATAGAGAGTTAGAAACATCGATGAGAGAGAAACATGGATCAGCTGCCTCCTGCACATCTCCCACTGGGGATGTGCCCGCAACCCAGGTACATGCCCCTGACCGGAATCGAACCCGGGACCCTTGAGTCCCCAGGCCGACGCTCTATCCACTGAGCCAAACCGGTTTTGGCAAAAATATATTTTTTTTAAAAAAATAAATAAAATAATGTGGATTCTAAACAAAACAGTAATCATTACTTAATAAGCTTTGAAGTACCAACCAGAAAACCCCAATGTTTGTGCTAACTTTCCACGATCCCCCACAAGGCTACAATAACTTCCTAAGGGGTCTCTTAGAGGGCTTTCTATTTGGTAAACTAAAATGACAGTGCAATGTGGAAGGCAACAGGCAGCTTATACAAAAAAAGACTCGCTAGTGACATCACAACTACATCCATTGCAGGATGGCATACACAGAATGCTAAAAAGAAAAAAAAAGGGGGGGGGGGGACAGGGAAGAAAAAAAAGGAAAAAAAGGGGGAAAGGAAAGGAAAAAGAAAAATACTATATACATGTTTGCTTGAATAAACAAACTAGAATTAGAACAATACATTAAAAATGGTAACATGCTGCCTCTGGGGAAACTAAATGGCCGAAAAACAGAATTGGAGATTTTTCTCAGTATATCTTTGTTCCTTTTGAATTTTGTAGCATGTGAATATATTATTATTTTAAACCAAAACAAAACCCCTTTTAATTCTAAAAGCTTTAATGTAAAATCATAACATTGGCCATATATATGTAATACATAAATAGTCTGGGGTTTTCCTACTGATTAAAATCAAACTAACTTTATTCTTATCAGCAATTCTACTTAAAAATTGCTATCACATGTAATCTGACTATAAAAAGTATCATTTGATTTTTTTTTAATGTATCCATACCAGAATATATTTAAAAAGAATAAGATGAGACGCTTACTCTCTTGTCTGAACTGGTGTCAATGACTTTTCAGTTTTCTTTTCTTGCTCCAGTGAGGAACTATTAAACAAAAATAACAGAATACTTTTTAATAAATAATTAATTTACATCTTGTCAATTCTATCTGTAGGCAAGAATTATTTTAACTTGCATTTTAATAATATTGCATAACACTACTATTAATGATGGCGTGTCCCAACACTCAATTCTTCAGTCAAAAACTGAGTACAAATAATTTGTTAGGCCCTAAGTAGGAAAGTCTCTTACCCTCTAATTCCTCAGTGAAGACAGGCTCCCAGTCCAAAGGCATGAAGCCACCTAGTGGCCTTATCAAACCATTCAAAACCTAGGTTTCTGGACTTACCTTTCAACTAGGCAGTGATTTTCAACCTTTTGTCATCTCATGGCACACATAAATTAATTACTAAAATTCTGCGGCACATCAAAAAATTATTTTTTGCCGAGCTGACATAAGAAAATAGGTATCATTTTGATTCATTCACACCAGACAGCTATTATTGTATTGGCTGTTGTCATTTTTTTTATTTAATAATCTCAGGGAAGAGAGGTCAGTGCCCTTGAGTAAACAGTCAGGTATTGCATGTTTTAAGAATTCTTGCCGAAACCGGTTTGGCTCAGTGGATAGAGCATCGGCCTGCGGATCAAAAAATTATTTTTTGCCGAGCTGACATAAGAAAATAGGTATCATTTTGATTCATTCACACCAGACAGCTATTATTGTATTGGCTGTTGTCATTTTTTTTATTTAATAATCTCAGGGAAGAGAGGTCAGTGCCCTTGAGTAAACAGTCAGGTATTGCATGTTTTAAGAATTCTTGCAGCGCATCAGTTGAAAATAACTGAACTAGGCCAAAGACCTAGTGAATATGAAAAAGGCTATGCTAAAAATATGCCACTACTCTTACATCCACCGGCTAAACTATCAAACGCACAAAAATGAGGAGATTTGTCATAATCTGGCCTCCCCAGACTAACTGATTAAAGAAGCTTTGTTCTTGGAGAATTTATTAATCAAATGCTACTTCATTTAATAAATAGATCACCCCTTTAGATCAGGTTATAGTGTACAAGAAACAGAAATTGCAATCATGATTACAGAAACGCTGTTTAGTTTTACTACATCTTAATAATGTAACAAAGGAAACTTACTTTTAATCTCAGAGGTAAAGGGATCATTTACCACCAAGAAAGCAGTTACTTGAAATACCACTAATTTTTGTTGCAAAATTCTATTTAAAAAGGACTTCAGATTTGCTATAAATTTTGTCAACGTGCTTTTGGAAAACATGAAACTGTACTCTATAGATGACACTCAAAGAAAGTAAGACAAAAAGTTTACTCACGTCATTGGATTGCTATCTGGCAAGTAATATATGAAATCTCTCATAGTCATTTTTGAACGATCTGGTGGTCTCTGACTTTCATTTATGGCATATTTGTTTTTCCACTGTTTCTAGATACAGAGAGAGAGAGGGAAAGAGAGAGGACAGAGGAGACAGATCAATCCACTTTTATTTTTAAATATAGAAGAATTTCAAATGTATCTATATTCAAGTATACAGTCCACTACTGCATTCATTGCAAATGCTTGAATATTACTCCTACCACAATTATGCACAATTTTAGGGAAAATTTTATAAACTGAACATTAAGAAATTGTTGCATATTAAGGAATTTTAAAAACTAAAGTGACTGGGACTGGATAAAAGCCCAATGTATAAAATCATGCTTACTGGTACTTTCTAACTATCATAATTTACTGAGAATTTATAAATACATAGCTTTTGCTTACCCTGCAGTGAATTCTAATTCTGTGTATTTTATAAAATTCTTGAAGCAAATGTTTAATTTTTAATTGCCCAAAATAAATCTAATTAAGCATATTCTATAAAACAAAACATTTTTCAGGCTTAGGTTTTAGAGAATACGGATTCAAATGTGTAACACAGGGGTCCTCAAACTACGGCCTGCGGGCCACATGCAAATACAAATATTGTATTTGTTCCCGTTTTGTTTTTTTACTTCAAAATAAGATATGTGCAGTGTGCATAGGAATTTGTTCATAGTTTTTTTTTAAACTATAGTCCAGCACTCCAACGGTCTGAGGGACAGTGAACTGGCCCCCTGTTTAAAAAGTTTGAGGACCCCTCGTGTAACATAAAAAAAAAATAACCTCTCTGAGCTTGTTTCCTTTGGTGTAAAAGAGTGATTCTGAGATAACGAACATAAAGCACCAAGCTAAGTGCCTTCCTCTTAATTAAAAAAAGAAGAGAATGCTATAATTAAAAGCTGACATTTGTTAAGTTATTATTATTTGCCAGACACTAATCTAAATGAGTTTTACACAATCCTTCAATTAGGTAGATACTATCATTAGTCCTATTTTACAGATGAGGAAATACACATAGAAAGAAATTAAGCCCTAACTGGTCTGGCTCAGTGGATAGAGCGTCAGCCTGAGGACTCAAGGGTCCCAGGTTCGATTCCGGTCAAGGGCATGAACCTTGGTTGCAGGCACATCCCCAGTAGGGAATGTGTAGGAGGCAGCAGATCAATGTTTCTCTCTCATCGATGTTTCTAACTCTCTATCCCTCTCCCTTCCTTTCTGTAAAAAATCAGTAAAATATATTTAAAAAAGAAATTAAATTGCCTAAAGTCATATAGTCAGTAATGGATGAATCTAATATTCAAACCTTTAGTAACTAACTCCAGAGCTTGCATGCTTCACTGCTGTTACATTGCCCTCTTAGAAAAATAAGCTTCAAGATGAAAAAGGACATGGACTATATGCATACATGAATATTTTTTCCATTTATAATTTTTTATATTGTCAATTTAGAAAATATTACTAATTCATTTTTGCTCAACTATACTTGTCTTAAATCAAATGAATGTAACTCATGTCACTTGGGCATCCTCATAAAAAAAATCTGATTAAAAGTTGTAAGTATGCCCAGCTGGTGTAGCTCAGTTGGCTAAGCATTGCCCCATACACCAAAAGCTGGCTGTTTCAATTCCCTATCAAGGCAGTGCCTGGGTTGCAGACTCAACCCCCAGTAGGGGATGTATAGGAGGCAGTCAGTTGATGTTTCTCTCTCTCCCTTTGTACCTCTCTCTTCCTCTCTCTCTAAAAATCAATTAAAATAAAAAATAAAAACAATTAAAAAAATAAAACACAGTCTGGCCAGTGTTTCTCAGTGGTTGAGTCAACTCATGAACCAGGATATGGTGGTTGATTCCCCGTCAGGGCACAGTCCCTGGTTTCAGGCTCAATCCCCAATAGGGGATGTTGTAGGAGGCAGCTGACCAATAATTCTCTCATCATTGATGTTCTATCTCCCTCTGCCTTCCTCTCTCTGAAATCAATAAAAACACATTTAAAAAAACAACAAAGTTATAAATATGTTTATATGTGTATCTGTGTGCATGCATGAAGCTTCTATTTGTAACCTTCACCAAAAACAATCAAAATATAGATAAATAAAACATAAAAATTAGTATAATGGAAAAAAAGGTTAAATCCATAGTGCTTCTTAATCATTCTGTTAAGAAAGGGGGAGGGGAGAACAGATCAATCAAAGAACTTGTATGTATATAAGCATAACCAATCAACACAGACAATGGGGGGGAGGGGGGGTGTGAAGGCCGGGGCTGGGGGAGGGGATGGGACCAGGCTGGTAGAGGACAAGGGAGGGGAGGGGTCAACAATAAAGAATTAAAATAAAAAAATATTTCAGAAAAAAAAAAAGAGAAAAGGGGATATTCTGTTAATATGAAGGATGTTACTTCGTTTTGTTCCCCCATATAATACTACAAATGATTATTTTTCCTCCAAATGATATCTGACATAAAAACTGAAATCTGGCAGGCAACAGTCAAAATTCTGATTTTCCTCTCTTACCTTCTCTTTTCTTAATTCTTCTTTTAACATTTCTCTCAGTTTCTGGGCTTTATATATTCGGTATCTGTCGGAGCATGGCTGTTTCTCTTTTGTTGGTATTGGGTGTGGCTGTGGATCTTCTTGATTAACTGTAGATAAGGGATGAGGCTCTGAAGGAACACTGACACTAGGCTTAACCAGAGTAGGAGTACTTGATATTCGCTTTCTTCTCTGTGAAACAGCAGAGGAAGATTTACTGGATTCTTCAACATCATTCTTACCATCAGTCTTTTCATTACTGTTGAAATTCAAAAAGAAAATAAAAAGGGTATATTGGATCTTCTTTTAAATATTTTAGTTTTAAAACCTAATTTGGGCCGGGCTGGTGTTACTCAGTGATTGAATGTTGACCTCTGAACTAGGAGGTCATGGTTCAATTCCAGGTCAGAACATACACCTGGGTAGCAAGCTTGATCCACAGTAGGGGGCGTGCAGGAGTCAGCTGAACAATGATTCTCCCTCATCATTGATGTTTCTATCCCTCTTCCTTCCTCTCCAAAATCAATACAAATATATTTTTTAAAATATATTTTTATTGATCTCAGAGAGGAAGGGAGAGGGAGAGAGAGAGAGAAAGAGAGAGAGAGAGAGAGAGAGAGAGAAACATCAATGATGAGACAGAATCATTGACTGGCTGCCTCCTGCACACCCCCCACTGGGGATCGAGCCCACAACCTGGGCATATGCCCTTGACTGGAATCAAACCCGGGGCCCTTCCGTCCACAGGTCGATGCTCTATCCACTGAACCAAACCAGCTAGGGCAATAAAAATATTTTTAAACTAATTTGGTAAAAATCCAAAACAGTAAAATCTCATTATTTAAAAAAATCATTGACTTGAGATGTATGTTTGTTATGACAGATGTTGGAATAAAAACTTTTAGCAAATCATTTTAACAGATACGTAAATTCTAAGTCCTTAACCACATTACAGCACATGATTTTATGTTCATGCTGAGTCCCTCAAAAAAGAAAACACACAAACACAAAAACCTAACTTACAAAAACAAAGTTTAGTTAACCTAGTTTGAATCATCAGATAACAAAGCATATATATATGTATGTGTGTGTGTGTGTATATATATATGTATATCAATCATTGATTTTTTATAGAGGAAGGAAGAGGGATAGAGAGTTAGAAACATCAGTTAGCTGCCTCCTGCACACCCCGCACTGGGGATGTGCCCACAACCAAGGTACATGCCCTTAACTGGAAGCAAACCTGGGACCTTTCAGTCTGCAGGCCGATGCTCTATCCACTGAGCCAAAGTTATTTTTTTTTTAAGTTAAGCTTATAATCCACACTGATATCCATCTTATAATCCACACTGACATCCATCTAAATTGATCTAAATTTTGGCATTTTACTTTAATTATCAACCTGAGATCAGTTAAACCAAATATACACATCAAACCTCTGAAATATTTGAATTGCAATATTTGAAGATACACACTTAGCTATGTTAATCAAACAAAATTCTATTTGAGGCAGAAATCATTTGTCTTTTGTCAGGCACAACTCTACTTATACAGCTATCAAACTCTTCACTCCAAAAAATGTGCTCAGTCACTCCAAATTAGATACTAGATACAGTTCACATTGGATATAACTATTTCAGGAATGGTCTGAAAGCAAGGTAAGTCAAGAAGAGGGGGAAAGAGGGTAGCTTGGCCAGTGTGGCTCTATGGTTGAGCATCAACCCATGAATCAAGAGGTGGCTGACTCAATTCCTGATCAGGACACATGCCCAAGGTTGCAGGCTCGATTCCCAGCAGGAGGCATACAGGAGGCAGCTACTCGATGATGTTTCTCTCTAATCAATGTTTTTTAAAAAAAAATTTTATTCATTTCAGAGAGAGGACGGGAGAAAGAGAAATAGAAACATCAGTGATGAGAATCATCAATCAGCTGCCTCCTGCCTTCCTCCTACTGGGGATTGAGCCAGAAACCAGGGCATTGGACCCTGACCAGAAATCCAACCTTGACTTCCTGGTTCATGGGTCAACACTCAACCACTGAACCACACCAGCTGGGCCTATCTTTCTATTCCTCTCCCTCCCTCTCTTTCTCTAAAAAAAAATAAATAAATAAAAACATACTAAAAAAAAAAAAAAGAAGAAGAAGAAGTCCTAGCTGGTTTGGCTCAGTAGATAGAGCATCAGCCTGCGGACCAAAAGGTCCTGGGTTCGATTCCAGTCAAGGGCACGTGCCCAGATTGCAGGCTCAATCCCCGGTTGGGGGCATGCAGGAAGCAGCCAATTGATGACTCTCTTTCATCATTGATGTTTTCTGTCTCTCTCTCTCTTTCTCTCTGTTACTCTCTGAAATCAATAAAAAATATATTTTAAAAAAATTAAAGCCCTAGCCCGTTTGGCACAGTGGATAGAGCATCAGCCTGTGTATTGAAGGGTCCCAGGTTCAATTTCAGTCAAAGGCACATGCCTGGGTTACGGGCTCGATCCCCAGTGTGGGGTGTGCAGGAGGCAGCCAATCAGTGATTCTCTCTAATCATTGATGTTTCTATCTCTCTCTCCCTCTCCCTTCCTCTCTGAAATCAATAAAAATATATTTTAAAAATAAAATAAATTTTAAAAATAAATAAGTAACTAGCCCAGTCGGCATTGTTCAGTGGTTGAGCGTCAACCTATGAACCAGGAGGTCGGGGTTCGATTCCCCTGACACGGATTCCCCAGTGTGGGGTGTGCAGGAAGCAGCCTATCAACGATTCTCTCATCATTGATGCTTCTCTCTCTCTCTCCCTCTCCCTTTCTCTCTGAAACCAATAAAAATATATTTAACAAAATAAACTAAATCCTATATAACAAAAGCCTAATATGCAAACTGAACGACCGGGAGTTCGACCGTTCGCTATGACGTGCACTGACCACCAGGGGGCGACGTGGAGCATGACAGCTGTCA